CATTAGGGAGAGCAAGTTATATGCAGCCCTGATCATCCATTAGGGAGAGCAAGTTATATGCAGCCCTGATCATCCATTAGGGAGAGCAAGTTATATGCAGCCCTGATCATCCATTAGGGAGAGCAGGTTATATACAGCCCTGATCATCCATTAGGGAGAGCAGGGAGTGTAGCAGGCATGCAGGGAGTGTAGCAGGCATGCAGGGAGTGTAGCAGGCATGCAGGGAGTGTAGCAGGCATGCAGGGAGTGGAGCAGGCATGCAGGGAGTGGAGCAGGCATGCAGGGAGTGGAGCAGGCATGCAGGGAGTGGAGCAGGCATGCAGGGAGTGTAGCAGGCATGCAGGTAGTGTAGCAGGCATGCAGGGAGTGTAGCAGGCATGCTACACTTCCAGAAGCCAGCATTAGTCTTCAATAAAGGTATGTAATACTGATTTGTTAAAAAAAAGATTTTTTTGTGAATTTTTTTGTCTGGAACGGATTAATTGTATTTACATTAATTCTTATGGGAAATATTATTTTGGTTTTAGGCCAAGCTTCTGGAATGGATTACAGTTGATAACCGAGGGTCCACCGTGCTATGTATATATAATTTTTTTAACACTGGCTGTCTCCCACTGAGGTAGGGTGACCCAAAAAAAGAAACACTTTCACCATCATTCACACTAGCACTGTCTTGCCAGCTGCACGCATATACAACAGTTCAAATGTCCGTCCAAACAGCAGATATTCCAAACCCCTTCTTTAGAGTGCAGGTGTCATGTAGGGGGGTAATGATTGAATAGGATATAAGTGGGGAATATGGGAGTAAGGGATTATGTAGGCAGGGGAGAGGCAGGCGAGGTGGTAGGAGTGAGATGATTAGCGGAGGTAGGTAGGTAATGACAGGTCAGTGGTGACCACCACGACACTCTCATTAACTCTACACTACTCACTAACATATGCCTCGCCCATTCTTCACTCATATATAAACATAATAAAAATATAAGAATTAGGAATAGCAAATAACGGGGACAGTGAATATTACTATTCTACTCAAACACAGTTTATTATTAAGTCCTTGTACCATAATATATTTGGGAACAGGAGTACATCATTGAGGTTTAGATAAATGGGGTGGTACACATAAGCAGTGAGACAGGGAACACAATCAAGTTGACGAAAATGAATTTAACTTACAATATAGCACAGAGGACAGTTCACTACAGGAACTAAGCCCCAGGTCCCAAGACCTACACAGCACGAGTACTGCGCCAAGCCAGTACTCTGCCCACTGCCTCCAACAGTCTCCTCCAGAGACTTCAGCAGCCTTCTCCCGAGCCCTGCACCCCAGCAGCAGCTCCGCTCGAAGTCTCTGCTCAGGAGCTCTGCACCCCAGCAGCAGCTCCGCTCGAATCTCTTATCATGCTCTTCCTTGGGCTTTTATGGTGGTCCAAGCACCCTCCACAACCACGTGTACGACCTGATGCCTAGGTCTGACGCCGTCAAGAACAAAAGACCTCAGACGTGGGCGTGGCTACAGACGTTTGCCAAGGCAAGGTGTGACCATATAATTGGTTAAATTAGGTCTCCCCAGAGACCCCGGAAGCCCAGCTGAACTACATCACATCCCCCTTTCTCCCCCAATTTAAAATATCTGAGAACTAGGACAATTTGTCCTAAGTTATTAGACTATTTTAATCCCAATCCCTTAAATCTATTACAATACAAAGACAAAATTATACATAATACAAAATTATTCCACTACATATATTTCCCTCCTAGGTAGTAGGTTGTTAGACAGCAGCCGCCCAGGGAGGTACTACCGTCCTGCCAAGTGAATGTAAAACTGAAGCCTGTAACTGTTTTACACGATGGTAGGATTGCTGGTGTCTTTTTTTTTCTGTCTCATACACATGCAAGATTTCAGGTATGTCTTGCTACTTCTACTTACACTTAGGTCACACTACACATACATGTACAAGCATATATATACACACCCCTTTGGGTTTTCTTCTATGTTCTTTCTAGTTCTTGTTCTTGTTTATTTCCTCTTACCTCCATGGGGAAGTGGAACAGAATTCTTCCTCCGTAAGCCATGCGTGTTGTAAGAGGCGACTAAAATGCCGGGAGCAAGGGGCTGGTAACCTCTTCTCCTGTATATATTACTAAATGCAAAAGGAGAAACTTTCGTTTTTCCTTTTGGGCCACCCCGCCTCGGTGGGATACAGCCGGTGTGTTGAAAGAAAGATATATTTCCCTCAACCTTCTCATCTACCACAAGGCAGCATAATCAGTACACCTGGCAGTTGGCCAGCATAATAGTTGCTCTCTGGTGCAAAGCCTCCTTACCCGTCATTTCTCCTTAAACCTAAATATCGGGCTCCAGTGCCTTCCCTACTTCTACCAGAAATGCTCTAGCCAATGCTAGTCACCCTCGCACGTTATCCATTGGGCCAAACCTCTCTAGGCTTCTATGGCATGGAAAACTGCTCCAACGGGTTGCATTCTTTCAAGTAACTGCAACTGGACCACTTCACGACCACCAAGGTCGCATTTTCGGCACACTTCACATGCACACTACAACATCTGAAAATCGAGACAGGGCAGGCATCGCAGCAAAGACCCTCCATTATCCTATGCCACTACTAGGATTCACTGGCCTCATAAAACAAGGCGGCCATAAACACTGGACCGTATTCAAGGTCACCTTATTTCACACAGGTAACACTAACACTCCTGGCAAGTCAAAGTAGGCTGGGGACATCACACACTCTCAATTGTCTCTCATGGCTGGCAGGACATCCCCGCATACCAGTCGTACAGGTCGACCAGCAAGGCAGGATACACCTCCATACCGCCCTTGAAAACAGGCTGGTCCCAGCAGCTGGAGTCCATCTCTGCAGTTCACGTCCTTCCACATCTCCGAGGATGGCAGCTCCTTTATAGTAGATTCTCCTGTCCTGGCACACCATCCAGGATCCCTCACACACCAGTGCAGCATCACCGCCATCTCCTGAGCTAGGCGGCATCGCAGCATCACAGCACGGCTACTGCATCACAGCACGGTCCCAACATCTCAGCATCCCGGCACGGTCCCAGCATAGCAGACAGCATCACAGCACGGCCACAGCATAGCAGACAGCATCACAGCACGGCCACAGCATAGCAGACAGCATCACAGCACGGGCACAGCATAGCAGACAGCATCACAGCACGGCCACAGCATAGCAGACAGCATCACAGCAGCTGACATCAGCAGTAGCAGGCAATGGTCAGTTGCTCGAGGTGAGGTGAGGTCACTTCAGGTCATCAACAGCAGGTGCGGTCACCCATCCCTGGCAACTGCGGGTAACTGGCGGTCCGCGGGTGATTGTCACAGAGGCTGGGTGACGCAGACACCCACTACAATGGATGACAGACCAGGGCAGCAATACATCTACTGGGGCACATCAACTGGGTGACTGGGCACATCAGGTGGATAATAATCATAGGCATCTCTTCAGTGGGTGACAGTTGTGGGCTAGTCTTCCAAGGCGGGCTGGGTGACTTCTCATTCCTCTGTAAATATTCAATTTCGGCAGTAATTGCTTCCCCCGAAAGTCTCACCCAAATACTGATATTCTCCACCATTTATCTCAAACCAACAACCAACTCCACCAAATATAATAATACAACCACACAATTACTCAGACCCACTGTCAAGAAAAGGTCAGTTAAGGTCACTAGGATTATAATATCATTATAATAACACACAAAATCATATGGTAGCATAAGTATAACCAAGCAGTCAAAAATAAGGCACATGGGACTGGTTCCTACTATAAAAATAATAAGAACCACCACCATGTCATGTAGGGGGGTAATGATTGAATAGGATATAAGTTGGGAATATGGGAGTAAGGGATTATGTAGGCAGGGGAGAGGCAGGCGAGGTGGTAGGAGTGAGATGATTAGCGGAGGTAGGTAGGTAATGACAGGTCAGTGGTGACCACCACGATACTCTCATTAACTCTACACTACTAACATATGCCTCGCCCATTCTTCACTCATATATAAACATAATAAAAATATAAGAATTAGGAATAGCAAATAATGGGGACAGTGAATATTACTATTCTACTCAAACACAGTTTATTATTAAGTCCTTGTACCATAATATATTTGGGAACAGGAGTACATCATTGAGGTTTAGATAAATGGGGTGGTACACATAAGCAGTGAGACAGGGAACACAATCAAGTTGACGAAAATGAATATAACTTACAATATAGCACAGAGGACAGTTCACTACAGGAACTAAGCCCCAGGTCCCAAGACCTACACAGCACGAGTACTGCGCCAAGCCAGTACTCTGCCCACTGCCTCCAACAGTCTCCTCCAGAGACTTCAGCAGCCTTCTCCCGAGCCCTGCACCCCAGCAGCAGCTCCGCTCGAAGTCTCTGCTCAGGAGCTCTGCACCCCAGCAGCAGCTCCGCTCGAATCTCTTATCATGCTCTTCCTTGGGCTTTTATGGTGGTCCAAGCACCCTCCACAACCACGTGTACGACCTGACGCCTAGGTCTGACGCCGTCAAGAACAAAAGACCTCAGACGTGGGCGTGGCTACAGACGTTTGCCAAGGCAAGGTGTGACCATATAATTGGTTAAATTAGGTCTCCCCAGAGACCTCACAAGCCCAACTGAACTACATCACACAGGCACTGTACTTCCCACCTACGGGACTCTAAGTCTGGCTAACCGGTTTCCCTGAATCCCTTCACAAAATATCTTGTTCACACTCCAACAGCTTGTTAGGTCCCAAAAACCATTTAGTCTCCGTTCATTCCTATTTAACATTCTCGCACATGCCTGCTGTATGTCCAAGCCCCCTTGCATACAGAACCTCCTTTGCCCCTTCACTCCATCCTTTCCTAGGATGACCCTCATTATATATGTTTGTTTATTTATTTTTGGAGATGAATAATTTTTTTACATGCAAAAAGCACAAATTTCATTACAATCCTTTGATTTTTTGTGTGACAGCTGTGGTGGGTGTAGTAGCAGAGTTTGTTGCAGCAGTACTGTTCTGGGTGGAGTATCGCATCCAGAAACGCAAGGAGTCCTACCGACAGAGTCATGGAGTCTTCACACTTGAAGGAACCAAAACATAAAACTGCTTTCCATACCTAAGACCAATATTTATATCGAGAAGTCTAGAAAAGATGTCATTGGCTTAAATTGGCAGGAAAATGCCAACTTCCAGTAAATTTCAGTTTCTCCATAAGCAAGATAGAAATAGAACTATGGCAACAAGAGACCTGCAGGAAAAACACAGGAAGACATTAGAAGTTTACAAGTGGGTGGTTATTTATAGTAATGATGTCAAACATTTTGAGCCATTTTGCATTCTTTATCACTGTTCAAGTTTATCACATTCATGGTGTAACGTACTACATTCAGTACAGTATTACGTAATTTATTACTGTAGAGACCAGGGACATTATGAGTGATCAGTTGCACTGATTTAGAATGCAGTCACCATCTCAGGCTTGTGACATACTATTAGGTGTTATAAAATTCATGAGAGGCACCTTGCAAGAGCAGTCGCTTAAATAATTCCATTTCCTGTATTGAAGGTGCACTCAGAATTTATCATCTAACTCTGCCTATTACAAAATGAGAATTTATTAAACTATATTTTCTCTTGAAATGACAGTATCAAATATCAGCATTGATACATTATTATTCATTTAATAGTCATGTAGATTTATAAGGTAAATTAACTTTATATATATTCAAATGCAGTACCATGGGTTAAAAATATAGAAATTTACATATTTACTATCTTTTATTATTTTAGAATATGACGAAGTCTGGTAACTTTCAGTCGAGCATTCTTATCAGTATTTCTGATGTTTTGAAGCCAATATATATTGATTGTAATATTTATAATTTCCCCTTTTTTTGTACAGAATAATTTAGGGTATGTGACTAATTTAAAACAGTTTTCTACCAGTCTAGTACTAGAAGACTTTATTTTCTAAATGTAGTACAGTGTCTTATGCAGCAGGTTAAATATAACAGCTGCTGCAATATTTAGGATCTCCTAAGTTATTTGCAATTATATTAAGTTTTGTAAAATATAGACTTACCAATTTTTTTTCTCTCCTCTCTTATGTACATAATACTGTTTCAGGGTGTGGGTAGGTGTCCTGGGTTTTTTGTATTAAACATTCATTATTTTTGTGTGTTTCTTCCATTACTTACGTTGACAACACGACTTGGTAGCTAAGCTAATGTACTTAAGTCTGTGTGAAGTCATTAAGATATTGTGATTTTTAACTGTGGTAACTACTCCGTCCATGATGTAGCTATGTTAAAGTTCATCCGTCCTTTTGGCTGCCATAGTGATACTGGGAACACCTAGCCTTAAGCTAAGCTGCAGCAGGTGTGGTCCTTGGCTGCACTCTGGGTGTCCCATTTTTATAGTTGCATTACTTCAAAATTTCAGAATTAGGTATCCCCATCAGGGTAATACCTTATGGGGTAGCTTGTTAGTTTTTATGTTTTATTCACTTTGGTACAGTAACTGCAGAATACCTTTTTTCACTACCTGAAGCTTTTAACAATTATGTATCTTGGTAAATAAAACCCCAAATTCTAATTGAGTCAGTTACTATTTCTTCATATTTGGCAGATGAGCCAGAAAACTGAATTTGCACATTATACTGCTTTAAGAGCAGACCATGAAATTTTCTAATCAATTTGGTAATACCATTTACAATAGTGTTAACTGTACAGGGTATTAATTCAGATCAAACAGCCCTTCCCTAGAAATTCGGAAAATTAAGCTTAACTTAAAATTTTGATCACTTTGTTAGTGCTGTCTTGAAATGAGACCTACTTCCTTAAACAATTCCTCAAGCTCCTCTTGCCTTGGGTTGCACATGTATTGTTTTTTTTGTCTGCACTAATTAGTCTCCTTACCACATGACAAGTTAAATGATAGTCCCCCTCAAAGGAGGCTCATAATTCAAAGAATTTAGCTTATCCTTGCTTTCTTTGGATCGAACTGATTGCCTTCCATTTCCCCCAGATGCTATATGACTGCTATGGATTTAATGCTCCTCATGAATAATACTGGTGGCAGTTTTTAGAACCAATTAGGGATTGGAGTGGTTTGTCTGATTTTACAGAAAAGCCATAATGAATAACTGGAACTTGATTAAACTTACCATATACATATATTAAAGCTATACATGCACAGTAATTTTGTTAAAATTGGAGACTTTAAATATTTTGGGATCAACTTTTATTTTTATATATGTACTTTATATATTTGTATGCCAGCTGTTCAAATGCTCTTTGAATCTTCACATACACCTCATATAAGTTTCTGCTATGCACTAACACCCTCCAACAGCCCTTGCCCACACTTCCAAATTTCTGCAAATTTCCAAATTTCGGTGGGAGACGACCGACTTGATGAAAAAAAAAAAAAAAAATATATTGTGTGTCAGTGTGTGTGTCAGTGTCATGCTAACTTCCACTACACCTCACCCCCTCTCACACTTAATTCTGTTGTATCCCTACAACTCTTATTACTATCTTTCAAATATCTCCAATATTCCTTGAAATCCTCCTCACACCGTCCATCTTCCCCCACAAACCCCCCAACTAACTTCCACACCCCATTTTTTTTTTTTTTTTTTTTAACATGCCAGCTGTCTTCTACCAATGTAAGGTGACTCAGAAAAAAAGAAAAAATTATCACCATCACTCTGATCTTTACCTCCTCCCAACACTGCCTAGGATGACCCCTACCCTTCCTTCCTCAACTTTTTTCCTCATGTTCTCACACTTCTCTAGCACATGCCTACACTCCTTATCACACACTCATCACACAAAATATCAAGAAAGAATAGAGAAGGACAGGCACACAATTCTGACTAGTTCTTCTCATACTGACTTTCTTGCAAGATAGGTTTTTAATAAGGGTTTGCAACCAAAATAAATCTAGTTGTTCTGAGGTAATCTCATGTACTGTACATATTTAATAAAAAATGGGCAAATTGTATTTTTTTTTGTGTGTGTATCCAAGAAATGTCGCAGGTTAATTAGCTGCTAAGTAGGTAAAACAGTACAATTTCTGTACAGGTAATTAATCTTCCTGTAGCAGGCTTGCATTTCATACACACAAACTGTACAAAAGCCTTATTGATTGCACTAAATTTCTTTGGTAGAGATAGGAGATAGTTCATTAGTGCCAGTTCAGTGTACAGGATTGTATTGTGTATATTACATGTGTACAGAATTGTAGTGTATATTATCTGTGTAGGACTGAGTGACTAGATCTATTTTTCTTACCAATGTGAGTATTAAATCACAAGAATAATAAAATTAAATTAACACTAGCCTTCTAATTTACCTTTATTGGATTTAAAGATTGTAATTTTTTAACTAGTATTGTTCTACATAATTTAAGGTAAGAGCAATTTCTACATATCTTTCAAACTAAGTTAGTATCTCTTCACATTTAAATCTCGGTACTCTGAAATAACTTAGTGATTTTATAGGTCAGTAATATTAGGACTTTATGTAAATGTAATAACAATTATAGGGAACAATCAGAGCCATCTATGATCCAGAGCTTTCATATGGTTGATTAACATTATTTTTGGAGTTCTTTTGGAAGATTGTGAAGAGAAGTTGGAAGAGTTTCAGAGGGTATGTATGTAAAAAAAAATGTGAATATGGATAAGAGCAAGGTGATGAGAATAACAATAGTTTAAGCATTGATAAATTGGATATAAAATTGCAGGATATGAAGAAAGTGAATGCATTTACTCTAGAAATATGGAAGTGAGTGTGTCAACAGATGGTTCGCTGAAAGTTGGTGGGAAGAGGTTGGTGAAGTGTTGAGGAATCTGTGGAGAGGAAGATGTTAGAGGCCAAAGTTATAATGTATCAATATAGTACAGTAACACCAACCCTTTTATATAGGTATGAAACATGAGCTTGAAATTTTTCAGTGAGAAAACCAGAGGCAGTGGAAATGTTGTGTTTGAGAGTTTAAAGAAATATCCCCTTTAGGGAGGTTCCTTGATGATAAGAGGCTCCTGACCCAAGGAATTAAAGTATCCTTCCTTTCTTGGGTTTAGTGCTTTTGTAGTCTCCCCTTTTCCCACAAATGAATATTATATGAAGAATTCATAGTGTAAAAATGGATGTGAGGGGTACAAAAGAGGGTGGAGGGGAGGTTGTGGTTTGGGCATTTAGAGAGGATGGAGTAGGATGACCAAGAAGGCATATAAATCTTAGGTGAATGGACAGAGGGATAAAGATTATCTCAGGAATATGTGAAGGTGCATGCTAGACTGGAGATGAGTGGCTTTAAGGCTTTGATGTGCTGTTGAAGTATAAGGTAACATTTATGAAGAGATATAAAGAAATTAATAAATTTAGACACATGCGCAACTCTTGGGTATCTTTATTAAGGAAACGTTTCGCCACACAGTGGCTTCATCAGACTGATGAAGCCACTGTGTGGCGAAAAGTTTCCTTAATAAATATACCCAAGAGTTGCACGTGTCTAATTTATCAACGTGTCGGTTCTGTGAACCATTCATCTACAATATAAAGAAATTATTTAGCTGGTCTTGAGTCCTGGAGTACCTGGAGTTTACCTGGAGAGGGTTTCAGGGGTCAATGCCCCTGTAGCTTGGTCTGAGACCAGGCCTCATGGTGGATCAGGGGTCTGATCAACCAGGCTGTTACTGTTGGCCACATGCAAACTGACATACGAACCACAGCCTGGTTGGTCAGGTACTGACTTAAGGTGCCTGTCCAGTGCCTTCTTGAAGACAGCCAGGAGTCTATTGGTAATCCCCCTTATGTATGCTGGGAGGTATGGTGCCTGCACTAGGGAGGAGGGGTGTGAATGTTGCTGTTTGCAGTTTGGAGGGTTATTTGAATTGTGATGTGTATGGGTTTTAGGCAAGACAGCTGTTGAATAAATGATAGTTAATATTTCTTTTTTTGGATTGCCCTACCTTGATAGGAAACGGCTGGTGTGGTAAAAAAAAATATTTCTGGTTTCAAGGAACTGAAGCTACTGAACCCTCAAAGGAAGTTTCTTGATGTTGGTGAGGGGCTCTTGATTCAAGCAAGTGAGCCTGGCTTTTCTGTCCTTGTATCGAACCTGATTACATCTCATTGCCTAGACACCGTATGACCCTTACGAGTTTAGCTCTTCGTAAATATGATGGAGTTACTCTTAATCTTTTTTTTTTCAAGGCTGATTACCTACTTCAAGAACATTTAAATCACTAGTCTGGCTAGTGGCTAACGCTCTCGCTTCACACGGCGAGGGCCTGGGTTTGATTCCCAGCCAGAGTAGAAACATTGGACGTGTTTCTTTCCACCTGTTGTCTATGTTCCCCATCAGTAAAATGGGTACCTGGGTGTTAGTCGACTGGTGTAGGTCGCATCCTGGGACACTGACCTAATTTGCTCGATGTGCAGAGCATAACAAGAGGCTTTCTATATAGTAGTATGTCATTGTTGTCAGCTAGGCCTGTATACCATGTACATGTACTTGTAGTAAATAAAGATATTATTATTATTATTAAACTAATGACCTTGAGAAAGGAACCGAGTAAAACTACTGAAACTGTTGATTGTATTTTTTTTTTTTTTGGCTGCTTGCATTTGGCACTTTTTGTTATTGTAATAAAATGGCTGCTCACGGAGATCTGTGACACTGAAAAGATCTGGATAGTCAACCAGGACCAGCTGTGGCTGCAGTTATACGGTCTTGCATCATCTATCTCGTTCAGAAATAAGTAATTTTTATTCATTAAGGCTGTATGACCCTTACGAGTTTAGCGCTTGGTATTGATTATAATTATTTAATAAAACTAGATACATCAGCAGTGTTTTACTGCCCTGTTGTATATGACGGGTGCATAATGGGAACAAAAGGTAAGGGATAAATAGGAGGCGGTGAGATTCCTTGATGATGGCTAGGAACTCTTGATTTAGGGAATCGGACTTGGCTCGAATCGGATTATCTCCCTTTCTCCCAGGCATTGTATGACCACTACGGGTTTAACTTTACCCCATGAATGTAGTAACGTGTACCATGTGGATGAATGAGCAGCATTGGAGCCCCTAAATTAGCACTATGATAATAAAGAATATCATTATCGATTTCTACAAGTACATGATACAACTGTTATAGGCCTAGCTGACATTAGCATGCTATATAGAAAGCCCTGGTTTATACAGAGCATTTATGGCAACTTAGTTAAATCTTGTCCCCCAGGATGAGTCCCACAATAGTCAGTTATCACCCAAGTACTACCTACTTACTGCTAGGTGAGCAGGGGCAGCAGTTGTAAGCAGTTGTACTGTTTGCAAAGACAAAATAAATAAAAAATAAATTAAAATGCATAACGTTTCACCCATGCCGGGGACCGATCCCAGACTCGGTACATGATCTGAAATTTCCCACGAACGAGATATTCTTCCTAAACGTTACCCCTCAAGGAAGGTTCCTTGATGTTGGTGAGGGGCTCTTGATTTAGGGAATTGGATCTGTGCTCCAGTTCCCCGAATTAAGCCTGAATGCCTTCCACATCCCCCCCCCCCAGGCGCTGTATAATCCTCCGGGTTTAGCGCTTCCCCCTTGATTATAATAATAATAATAATCTTCCTAAACGTTAACTTTAAGATCAAGAAGAGGGAGGAAATACTGCATCTCGCTAGGGATCTGATGGATATGGCGCACAAGACATTCCTATCAGCTTCGTCACTACTGGTTGTGCTTCTGAATAACTAGATAGTTGAAGTCTTCGCTGGTCTGCCAGCTATGCATACTATATATGGTACACGTATCTTAGTTTTGAGTATTTTACGTATTAATATCAGAATGCATGCATATGTATAAGAATGTCATGGAGATTTCAATGAGCCATGATGTAATCCATATATATATATATATATATATATATATATATATATATATATATATATATATATATATCTGACATTGAAGTGGTGTATATTCTCATAGCTTTCGCAAAGCTTGACCATTTAATTTTATTACACATCACGGAAACTACATGAGCCACACGGGTTTAATGTTTTTTATAATACAGTAATAACAATCAGGAAAACGTAATTTAAAAAGTAAATTTAATTTAATTCACCTTGAAGACATTAAGAAAGTTAGTACAGATGCAATACATTAATATTCTATAACCCACACATGCAGCGCTGTATAGCCCTTGTGGCTTAGCGCTTCTTTTTGATTATAATAATAATATAACCCACACATCCTTGTCATATATAGATGGAGACGATTATTATTTATTCCTGCTTATTTTAAACTTATAGCTGTACTCTTGCTGCTGTCTATAAAAGTGTTAAATAAGAACAATAAATATTGAGGAAGAATAAAATTTCATGTGAGGTAAAATAAATATGTTGCTATTGTGAAAGGTGAGCAATGTGGCACCTGCGCCTGGACCTTCCTCACCTGCCAGCGTGTCCGATACCCTTACCTCCCTTACTTTATACCAAGATATATATATATAAACCCTCTTAATTTGGGCTCTTGATAAATAATATTTAATACATATAACCTTCTCCAAACTAATGAATGAGGCTAACTCACTGTAATGTGTCTAAAAGTAAAGGTAATGCCATAATATGATGGGATGTGAACACATCTTAGGTTCTTGTGTGTTAGACTGGACACTGAGGAGTGAACTTACTGGAGCATCATGGACGATAAACGCTCCTGGAGAAGCTCTGTAGCTATCTTACAAAATGGCCAGTCATGGGAGTCTTTTAGCAAAGAAATCCGGCCAACACCCCCATCATGTGAGTAACAAAAAAAAGGTCAAAATGTGGGGGGTGGGGGGAAAAAAGTAGGAGTAGCCCATGCAGGTAGTTTGTTTACGCCTAGTGGGGTTCCAGGGGCGCCTCGTCTCCCACCACATTCCTCAAGTCTAATTCACCGCTAACACATCTCTGTGCAACTATTACTCAGAGACTAGTGTTTAGGAATGACTACCGTTGGAAAAGTAGTAGTTGTGGTGTGACATTAGTGGTTGAGTGATACAAAGGTGCAAGTGTACATCAGTGAGAGCCGGATAACGCCATCATAAAGGTCCCATCCACCACCATAATGGCCGTTGTAAACACCTTAACACAAATGGCCGGTGATATAAGTACAGTGATATATAAAAGTACATGAATTATATGAACATTTACGAATTATACATATATACTCGAGTGTATTGACAGTTAAACAATACTGAAGAATAATACTACAATATATATAGTGTATGAATTGTGTATCTATACGAGATTATATGAATTTTTACGGTAGAATATATTAATGTTATGAAGATTTATATTGTATCTATCTTGTTTAATAACATATGTGAGTGGCTGTGGTATTGGGGAGTAACCTGAAGTTGTATTTCAGGATTGAGATTTATGCAGTGGTAAATGCTTTGTCTAACCCTCTGGGGTTAAAAATCCGAACGAAATCTTATCTTATCTTATCTTAAACAATTATACTTTAGTATATACAGTTTTATATATAATTATATAGAATCATCGAACCAAGTACCTTGAGTAGCTTTAATAATGGGCTGGTGTTGGTGGGAGGTGGTGTCTGGTGAAGTTAATAAATTCAAATTTCCGGGTAGGCAGGCCATTCCATGTCAACTTGACAAATGCTTCCAACCTGACCGTCTCCAGATTTGTAGAAATTTAGTGTGTAGTTTCATACAAGTTTCATGCAACGTTCTGTAGAGTTTTAGATCTATGTATGTTGTAGCTTGGTCACCAGCGCTTTTAATGTGGGAGTAACCCTAATTGTCAATTTATAAATTTTTCATTATTATAATAAAAAAAGAAGCGGTAAACCTACCAGGGTCATACAGCACTGCAGGGTAGGAATTGATGCAGGATCTAAGGAGAAATAAGGGTTGAGATGACAATAACAGTTAGGAGGGGCTGTGAGGAGTGCTAAAGGAAGGATTTTCAAAGTTTGTGTATTAAATCAGTTGCTGTCAAAAAGTCAGAGAGGGAGTCCATCAAAGGTGGGTCAATTAGCAAGGAGGGAAAATAAGTATGGGTGTTAGAACTGTGATGACGGAGGAGGAAAATTCTGCATGCTTGTTAATAGACAGGACATTTTATTGATGAATGTCCAGTGTAATGGGGAGCCCATCACTGGTTTCATCAGTAAAATATCTGGGAATCCCTTTTGACCCATGCATGTCAGGAGAATTGATAGGGAACGGTGTAGTAAAGAAAGCAAATGCCAGACTTAAGTTCCTCTATAGAAAAGCAGTGTCTACCTACTGAGACTCGCAGGACCCTATGTCAAGCCCTTATACAGTGTCATATGGATCATGCTTGCTCTTCATGGTACTCTGCCTTGACAAAAAAACTGAAAGATACCTGGAGTTTACCTGGAGAGAGTTCCGGGGGTCAACGCCCCCGCGGCCCGGTCTGTGACCAGGCCTCCTGGTGGATCAGAGCCTGATCAACCAGGCTGTTACTGCTGGCTGCACGCAATCCAACGTACGAGCCACAGCCCGGCTGGTCAGATAGATTGCAAATCACCCAGAACAAAATTGTAAGATTCATCCTGGACCTGGGTCCAAGAGAGCATGTAGGCCAGAATGAATTACAGCAGTTGGATATGCTGAATGTTGAAGAAAGAGTAAAACAACTGAAGCTTAATCAAATTTTTTAAAATCGCTCATAAACAGTGTCCAGAATATCTTGCTGTCAATTTTGTCAAGGTTAGGAACCAAAGCAATCATAGTACTAGGGGGAGAGAGCACAACTTTGTAGTACCCACAATCAGTGGCCAGGCTTCAAACACCTTTTATTGTGTAAAGTAAAAGGACACAAGTGCAACTAATGTGACATTTTATTGTCACATTAGTTGCACTTGTGTCCTTTTACTTTACATATTGTCGGTAATTCTACCAACTTTATTACAACCTTTTATTGTACAGCAATAAAGGAATGGAACAGACTGCCTACACATGTCAAAGCCAGTCATAACATGAACCAGTTCAAGAAGAGTGCCAAAAGGTGTCTGATGAATGTGGCTACAGAAAGGGAGGGAAAGATTTTTTATTTTTTTTTTAGCTAACACGTGTGTAATTTTACCTTATTCCTAGTAATGACCCTCATATTGTGGATAGTCTTAGTGACCCTCGTGTAGTAGATAGTCTTTTTAGTATAATAATAAGATGTTATCTTCATTATAGAATAATAAGAAAATATTATAACCTTTATATTATAATAATAAGGTAAAAGGACCCCAGTGGAAATAAGTCACTCTGTCTGACTTTTTTGAGTTATCCCAGGTTCTCTACACATATGCTGCTATGTATGATAATCTATGTAACTGTATTTGTGTATACCTGAATAAACTTCCTTCCTTACTTACTTAACAGAATATGGGGAATTGAAACAGGAACTAGACACGAGTGTGTCTGATGCAAAGACGAGAGAGTGTTGTCTCCCAACCTTGGTATCATAAGAACATAAAGAAGGAACACTGCAGCAGGCCTACTTATCCATGCAAGGCAGGTCCAAGTCACCTACCAGCTTATGACACTGACCCAGCCTAGTCAGGTCCAGGTCACATCCATTTAAGGAAGGAGCACAGCATCAGATCTACTAGCACAAGCTAGTCAGGTCCACCTCATTCCCACTCATATATTTATCTAAGCTATTTTTAAAACTATACGTGTTAGCTTCAATGACGGTACTTGGGAGTTTGTTCCACTCATCCACAGCTATATTACCAAACAAGTGCTTTCCTATATCCTTCCTGAGTCTGAATTTTTCCAACTTGAAACCATTGCTGCGAGTCCTGTCTTGGCTAGATATTTTTAGCATGCTATTTACATTTCCTTTATTCCTGATTTCCATTTATACACCTCAGTCATATTCTCCCTAATTCTACACCTTTCTAGAAAGTGCAGATTCAGGGCCCTCAGTCTATCCTGATAGGGAAGATTTCTGATACGTGGGATCAACTTTGTCATCCTCCTCTGTATGATTTCCAGTGCATTTATATTCATTTTGTAATACGGTGACCGGAACTGTGGGTATAATGTAAATGAGGCCTAACCAAGGATATATAGAGTTGAAGAACAACCTGAGGACTTCTGTTATTTATACTTCATGATATGAAGTCAAGGATTCTGTTCGCTTTATTGTGAACACTTATGCACTGTTGTCTTGGTGTGAAATTACGCCTAATCAGAACTCCTAAATCCTTTTTGCAATCAGTAATATTAAGATCTACATTATTTAGTTTATATGTGGCATGATTATTTTCCTCTCCAACATTTAGAACTTTGCATTTGTCTATATTAAACTGCATCTGCCACTTCTCCGACCACTGCATCAGTCTATTCAAATCATCCTGGAGTGCTCTAATGTCCTCATTAGAATGAATTGGATGGCCTATTTTGGTGTCATCAGCAAATTTGCTTGTGTTACTATTTGTTCCTTCATTTATGTTATTTATTTGTGAATGACAAGGGGCCCAACACTGACCCCTGTGGAACACTACTTGTGACATGACTCCACTCTGATTTCTCCCCATTTATGCAAACTCTCTGCTGCCTGTTTGTCAACCATGCCTCTACCCAGGAAAAAATTTCTCCTATTCCATGTGCCATAGTTTCTTCAATAGCTTCTGATGTGGAACTCTATTGAAAGCCTTACTGAAGTCCACATACACAATATCATATTCGTTACCATGATCTACCTCCTCAAATATCTTAGTGAAAAAAGTTAGTAAATTCATAAGGCAGGAATGCCCATTTGTAAAATCGTGTTGAGATTCATTAATCAATTTATGTTTTTCAAGATGGCTACGAATTGCCTCGGCAGTTATTGATTCCATAGATTTTCCCACTATGGAGGTAAGGCTTATTGGTCTATAGTTCAAAGCTTAAGATCTGTCTCGATGACAAAAAGGCCAGAAACCTAAACTTGCTTTGATACAGATTTTGCAAGAAATCAAAATTTTGCAGACTTCTGTGGTACTAACACAGTTACCAACTTGAAATTTGGTATTCCTATTTGAATTTTATTGCAGCATTAAAAAATTATGCTGAAACTAATAAATTAGTACATTTTTCACTTTGTGCTGAAAGTAAAATTTTTCATAGTGATAAGTCAAACAAAATTCAGATATCTGTAAATCTAGTAAAATATTTACAAGCTAACTAAGCAAGAGTGTACTCACCTAGTTGTGGTTGTAGGGGTCGAATCACAACTCCTGGCCCCACCTCTTTACTGGCCGCTACTAGGTCTTCCTGCTCCATGAGCTTTATCATACCTCTTCTTAAAGCTATGTATGGATCCTGCCTTCATTACATCACTTCCTAGACTATTCTACTTCCTGACTACTCTGTGACTGAAGAAGTACTTCCTAACATTCTTGTGATTCATTTTGAGTCTTCAGCTTCCAACTGTGACCC